TTCCAGGGAGCTGTCCACAAGGACATTAAAAAGGTATGTGCTAGCATTAGGAGCTTAGAAAGCATGGTTCATCTTCTTCATAGAGTCTGATTAAAGGAAAATCATTTTAAATCACTTTCTAGATGGTCTAAGAATAAATGACAGTTAAAAATCTTAAGATTGAGGATATGGGGGCTGGAGAGATGACTAAGTGGGAAATAGTTTGCTGTGTAAGCAAAAAGACGCAAGCTTGGATCCCTACACCCATATAAAAGGCCTAGCATGGTCATGTGTTCCTATAACCCCATCTCTGGGTGTGTGTAAGGAGTATGTTGACTGCAAACCTAGCCAGGAAAACACAACACAACAAAACAAGCCAGAATAAAAAGTGATGCACTTTAGATTTTACAAGAGAACCAATCTCAAAGGAAGGACAAAACTGCTAGAAAATCTGACATCTGATATCTGGCATCTTCCTCTGGCCTTCATGTGCATGAGGGGACATGCATGTTCACATGTGTTGCATATACTACACACATACACATAGACACACATACAGAAGACCAAAGGTGGTAGTGTTTAAATTGGATAAAATGCACTTGAAGGTGGATAAAGCAAATATGGCACATAAGCATCCATGAAATAAAAATAAAATATGTCTGGGGCAGGATAATGGATAGAGATCATCATGTTAGGTGGAATAAGCCAGACTCGGGAGGATTGAGACTCATGCTTTATCTTGTATGAAAAAGATCTAGATTTTATACACACATATATGCATGCACTCACGCACACACACATGCTCTCAATGAGAAAGAAGGACACAATTTGAGGTGAGGAGGTGTCATCAGTGGGAATTAGGGATAAGGGAGCATACTGAGAGTGAATATGAACAAAACCCTTGATGAAAATATCTTAACTAAGCCACGACAAACAAGCTTTGAATGACATTATTTTATATTGTTAAATGATATTCATAGTACTGTTGTAACAGTGTTAATTCTTCAAGAAACAATACGTGAAAATCCATAGCCCAGACTTGTAGTTTCTACATGAAGGGCTGGGCTCCTGGGAGACTCTAGACTGGGAAAGAGAGACCATAAAGGAGGAGTCTCTCTTGCAGATCGAAGTACATAGCACTTAAGGCAGTGCTGACTCAGAGATGATGGTCATGGCCAATCTGGATCCAGCCATGGGGAGTTCTAGCTCCCCAGACAACACTCAGAAATGATATTGCAACCCAACCACAGCTCCAGACACTCAATGACATTAGCATCTCCTCTTGAGGTTCAGTAGAGTTGCCCAATGACCCTTCTGAACTGACAATCTTTGTAAATGTGTCTTTACAAAGGAAACCCTGCTGTGGCTTCCAAGGTCCACCATGTAACTTGGTCCCTCTGAATCTGCCTGGCATTCAGCCCCTTGTCCTAAGGCCCCTCCACCCTGAGGACCTATTTGCTATTTCTTTAATGTAAATAGCCCTTTTGAAAGTTTGAGCTTGATTCTTCAGACTGTATACGATACTCAGTTTACTAAAGTTTCTGTTCAAAGATAACTCTATCACCATAGCTTATGTAGTTGAAGAAATTCTCATGCCATGTTAGTCGTTTAAAGTACATAAATAAGTGTATAAATACAAAGGGGCCCAATTTGGTCTCATCTAAGCCTAGCTTACCCTTCCTGTTTGCTGATCCTTGGCCAGCGATAGATCAGACATTACAAAGCAAATACATAGTCTCTGGAAGCAAGGGGTAGAATATCTTAAAACACACAGTAGCTTGTTAGGAGCTGTCACAGATGGCTCTGGTGCTGACCTTTTCAAAGCAGAACTGAAATCACACACTTTAGGACTGAAGAAACATCACCAAAAAATCCCTCCCACACTTCTCTTGATGATTAAAAAATATGCTAACACATTTAAAAATATGCAATACCTAAAATCTACTCTTAGCAACTCAAGGGCACAATCTGTTGTCATTAACAACGGTTACCTTGTCGTACAGTGATGTATTGAATAGATTTCTTCTAACTGAAAATTTTTCATTGTCCACAAGCATCTCCCTAACTTCCTCCTGCCAAGGTTCAAGCTCTGGGAAGCATCACATTCCACAAATGCATGCTCATCCCCAAATATCAAGTTGCAAATGAAAAACATATGCAACTATATCTACCAATTAAAAACAGCAGCAGCACAAACCTGTCAGAGATACAGGCTCATTTCTAAGGTGATGACGTGAGTGAGTTCTAGTGCTCTCTCCTCTCTACTCCAAATTGTATCGAAATAATAAGGCATGTGCATTTAAGATAGTCTCTGTGGCTGTGCTAGAAAACCTCAAGTCCACCTTTGGCAGCCTAGGCTGGGAGAATTTTTGGAAGATACACAGATGGCATTGTGATGAGTAGAGTGAAACCTAGAAAGATTTGAACAGTGTCGGGAGTGTGTCAAAGGTCACCTGTAGGTGCTCAGCACGTGGTTTTTATTTTCCATTTCAGTTTTTTTTTCAGTTTTACGTAGAGCCTGAGATTTATGTTTGATATAGTTGATTATCTCACTTTGTTTTTGAGAGTTGTTGAGAGCTTCTGAGAGTTGTCCATTTCCTTCTCATAGTCTCTGGCACTTGCTTTTGTTGTGCACTCAGGAGCTTGTGGTGGTTTGAATGAGGATGGTCCCCATAGACTCACATTTTTGATTTCTTGCCTCAAGCTTCCCCCGCCCCAGCGGGGACTGTTTGGGAAGGATCAGGAGGTAGGGTCTTGATGGGAGAGGTGTGTTACTGGGTGGGGGAGGTGGACCTTGAGGTTTCCCAAGCTCACAGCATTCCCAGTTAGCTTTCTCTCTGCCTGGTGCCTGTGGATTAGATGTGAACTCTCAGCTACTGATCCAGCTCCACGCCTGTCTGACTGTTTCAATGCTCCCCACCATGATGGTCATGGAATCATCCTCTGAACCTGTAAACTCCTGTTAAATGGTTAAATGCTTTCTTCTATACATTGCCTTGGTCATGGCGTTCTGTTACAGCAATAGAAAAGTAACTAAGACACAGCCTTTCTGTTGTTTCTTGGCAGGCACACCTCTATGCACCAGCCTCCGAGGCTGGAGTGGTAAACTAGACAGTCACCAGGTCCTAAGAGACCAGCATGGCTTGTAGCCTGTGCCTGTATCAGTGTGGGACAGGCTCTTTGGTGGTACTACCTAACCTAATTTGGGGAGGGGCAAGGACATAACCACATTTCTTATCATTATGCATGCGTTTTCATTTTTAAAATTAGGCAGATACCAGAAAAATTACAGATACAGCTACTGACAGAAGAAGTAGCTTGGAACAGAATACCAATTAAGTACAAGAACAAATGGTGGCAATGTGTGATGGTAGCGCCCTCCTGGCTCTGGAGTCAGACAGACTGGGTCAGCAACCAGGGTCTATGTTCTTGTGTGTGAATCATTGCTAGTAATGGCTGTGCATGTCTAAGCCTCACAGAGTGGCTTTGGGTTTACTGTGTAAACATATGTACCACATTAAAGACAATGCCTGGCATCTTGAATTCCCTGCTAACACCTGAATACAAGTGTGACCTTCACAGAAGCCACTGAAAGATTAGGAGAAGATTTTCATGATTTTGGATAGTGAAATCTGAGGGGTGTCTTTCCACCGCTGTAATGGAACAGTTTGCTGTGAGGAAAGAAACACGGGGAAAGGCTCACAATAAATATTTGAGAGTTTGGATAATCAATGTCCCTCAAAAGCTGTGTGTCATTATTTGGTTTCCAGTCTGTGGCACTACTAGGTAGAAACTGTAGGGGTCAGGGACTCTCATAGGAGGAGATTATGTTATTGGAGCAATACTCTTGAAGGGGAGACTGGGGCCCTAGTTTCTTTCAGTGTCTCTTTTTGCTTTCTCGACAGCAAGTGTGAATGGGTTTCCTCCACAATTCACCATCTCATCACAGGATCAAAGCAGCACCACCAAGAGACTGTGGACCAAAGAAACCTCTCCTCGTTTTTAAATAATTACTCAATATTTTGTTAAAGTAATAGAAAGCTGACAAACACAAATATCCTAAATTTAATTTTGCAATAAACGTACTGTTAAAAGCTAGACTAATAAGTAGGAAGGTGATTTGATGAACTCTGACAGAGCGAGGAAAGAGAAAGACAAAAGAAGACAAGCTAGAAGTGCTGAGATGAGACCTGGAGTGTTTAGTAGTTTATAATAAGAGCTGAAGGAGGAGGAGGGGACACAGGAGATGAAGGAAAACATGCATGGAATTTTTAATTTGCTGAAAACTTTTATTTTTTTACCTTGGGAATTCTCACAGACTGGCAGTCAAGATTATTAGAAAAATGCAGTATCATGGAATTTCTGAAATTCTAGAAGGAAGGAAAAGTGCTACAAGAATTAAGAGAAGGAAAACTCCAGTGTAAAGGAAGGAAGAGCCGGACCTAGGGGCACAGGATGACAACCTCAGGCTGAGGCAGGAGGATGGTAAGTCTAAGAGCAGTCTGGGAAACCTAGTGAGACTTCCGTTTCCAACTAAAAGGAAAAGGAAGTCTGGGGACATATTCATGGGAAGGGTGCTTGCCCAGCAGGCATAAGACCCTGGGCAGACTACTCAGTATTATTATAAAGAAAGCACAATGGAGGGAGAATCAAATGGGGTGCCTCTAGGGCTGGACTTTTTCCTTAGAAACACTGTGTCAGAAGAAAATGGTATTCAGTTTGCAGTCAGAGAGGGAAATACACTGTTACTCTTGAATTCAGTTTGAAGACATGTAGACTCTGTGGTGTGTGTGTGTGTGTGTGTGTGTGTGTGTGTGTGGTGTGAAATATATTCAATTATTCTAGTAAGAACCAGAAAGAGGACAAGGGAACACTGAAAGAGCATGAAATACTTAAGGTTAAAATGAAGGAAGATGTCAGGTGCACACAGTGAGTGGACACAGTCCATGTGAATTACTTAGGTACCCCACGAAAAATGAATGCTGTTCCCCTGGATAAACCAAAGCAAATACTGTCCATCAAAGGACAGATAAACAAGAGAAAGGATCCTGTGAACAAATGGAGAGCAACCTCAGACAGGTCTGGTGATGTTGGCTGTCGGGAGAGACAGAGGGAAGAGACCTGGGGGAGAAACAGGGACATTTCACATTGTTTAAAGGAATACCCACTGAAGAGAATGGTCTCCTACAAACCTGTAAGTAGCCATCATATACACAAGCAACAACTTCAGAACGCATCAAGCACTGACTCTTAGAGATGAAAGGAGAGATCACCAGGGCAGCAAGAAGAAGGCACTGCTGTTTGAGTAGCAGGCTGGACAAGAAGGGCAGACAATGCACAAGTACATGAAGATGCAGGGTTTAATCATTCTCTAGGAAACATTGCAACTACAGAGCAGATGCAGTGCATTTTCTTTGAAGATTTGTTTAAACAATAATTACAGACTACTTGAGAATAAAATGGAAGCTCATTTCAAAGCCTGGACACGAATTCAAATCTTGATTCAAAGACTTTTTAATCAAATACCATATGTTAATAAAATATAAGTAGCTTTTACTACCCGTAAAATAACATGGTGTTAGCCCAAGAAACAAAAACAACTTCAAAGGCAGCAAGGAAATAATATTACTATGATAAAAAAAGGAAAGAAAATCTCCTTGTCCCACTCCAAAGTGCAGCATCAGTTAAGAAACCAACTTTTGGTTCTCTGAATGGGTCAAGATAGACAAATCTCTTAGAATTATAATAAGGAGAGAGAGCGTTTCCGGCTTAGGCTCAGGGTCTGGGAAGGGGCTGTCTGTGGGCACCATGACGGGCCGTGAAGGCGGCAAAAAGAAGCCCCTGAAACAGCCCAAGAAGCAGGCCAAGGAGATGGATGAGGAAGATAAGGCTTTCAAGCAGAAACAAAAGGAGGAGCAGAAGAAACTGGAGGAGCTGAAAGCCAAGGCCGTGGGGAAGGGGCCCCTGGGCACAGGTGGAATTAAGAAATCTGGCAAAAACTAAGCTGTTCCTCATACCTGAGATGATGGTGACCCTCTTCCATTCCTATTTAAACATCTGGATTCCCTGCCATAATAACGTCTTTGCCACCTACAGCTAGAATGAAGTGTCATCCTGGAGCCTGTTAAACATCTGGATTCCCTACTATAACATCTTTGCCACCTACAGCTAGAATGAAGTGTTATCTTGGAGCTTGTTGTACATTGTAATAAATAAACTTTTGTAAAAAAATGAATAATACAATGGCTCATTGTCCTAGTGTTCAGCAATTCCTACCTCAGCTGTGAATTTAAAGTAAACCCAGTCTGGAATCCTACCAGAGCCTGCTGTTTCATCTTTGTTGTACTCTGAATTCTGTCACTTTGAATTAAACCAACTCATTAAAAGGCAAAAAAAAAATAAGGAGAGAGAGAGAGAGAGAGAGAGAGAGAGAGAGAGAGAGAGAGAGAGAGAGAACATTGTCATATACTAGATCAGCCATAAAAGTGCGTAGTTACAGGTAAAGAAGGGGTTTTTAAATAATGAAAGTCACTGCATACAAATTTACAGCAACACATTTGCTCATGGAGATGAGTGGACACTTGCTCTGCAGAGGTTGGAGAAAGGAGCAGGGCTGCCCAGGAAGTGAGAGGAACCTGAGTCAGCAGCACGCTTGAAAGACACTGAGATGTCAAGGACAGCTTCAAAAGAGAACCAAGAGTCTCAGTTACGTGTTAGTTCATTTTAGTGTGGGAAGACGGAGCCCAGGGCCTTGAGTGTGCCAGGTAAACACTGCCAGTGAGCCCCATTCCCTGCCCTTGCCCCGCTCAGCTCATTTAAAGATGTCTCCATTGACCTCTCAACCGCCTGCTGCTTCCTTACTGTTGGTGATGCTGAGAGGCATCATAATCTGTAGGACATTTCCAGTCCTGTTTCAGTTCCTGAGGAAAATTCGGACCAATAGGAAACAAAGGAGAAAAAACCTCTCAGGAATATAGATTTTTAAAAAATAAATAATAATAATATTTTTAGAAATGCAATTTTAAAAATCCCATGCATTGGAATTAACCAGACCCTTAAATTTCTAAATAAAAATATGCATAAACTGAATTTAAGGATAACAAAAGATAATCCCACAGCTATAAAATTTAATCCAGTAATTTGGGGATCACTTTAGTATAGGACACCTCACAATTTAATGCGCTTCATTGTGTTAACGGGTGAAAGAGACAAACCCGATGTGATCCTGTAGATAAGCACACTTTCTAGCATAGACGATGTATATGAGGATGTTTCCACTTTTGATAAATAGGCAAGCATTAAAAACCTTTCAAAACATGATAAATGGTATTTATTAGAAACAAAACAATAAAAACCAAAATGGAGGCGCTCTTAGTAAAATCATGTACAAGATAAGGCTGCTTCCTCTAATGGCTTTTGTCAGTTTCTCTGGAGGTGGTAGCCAAAACTACAGCAAGAAAAATGCAAGTGATATAAATATTACAGAAGATATGTCAAGTGATCATTATTTATACTGCCTCTGGGTTCCTTTCTTGAAAATTTGGAATATATGGTCTATCATAATTAATGGGAGTGCCCAGCAGGATATTAAAATATCACCATTTAAAATGACCTAGTGGGTAAAGTGCTTGTACAGCCTGAGGCCTGGCTTTGGGATCCCTGACATCCCTGTGAAAAAGCCAAGACTGGCAACAGGCAACTATATTCCTAGTGATGGCAGTCAGAGACAGCCAGTCTAGGTCAGCCAGCATAGGCAACTGGAGAGCTCAGGTTCAGTGAGAGACCCTGTCTCAAAAAGTAAGTGGTCAACGATGGAGGAGGTAACCCAATGTGTCAACCCCCTCCACACTGCCTGCCCCCCCCCCCCGCCCCAGAACAAATTGCATGGCTTTCCAAGCAAGAGTCTTAGAAAAAGAGTCACGAGATAAGCAAGATCTGTAATAGCAACTCCACTATAAGAGTCCTGGGAATAGAATCACAGGGATTATGTAAGACATTAACAAAAGGTCCACCGAGGGGCCTGCAAGAAAATGTGAAAGGTAAGTAAGGACTCAGTGTGATTCAAAGGGACTGCCCAACATCACATGTGGGCCTGTTTTGGCCCCTGCAATATCTGTAAGCTTAATGAAAACTATAGCCAAATGCGTTTTTAAAACCCTTTGTACATGATAAATTCAAATGATTAAGACAAGATAAATCAATTAATGTGTGTCTCTGAGGCAGCTAGCTACCAACAAAAAAAAAAGAAACTCTTTAATCACACAGCACAGAGAAATAAACACCAAAGAGATTAACCAAGTAAATATGTATTTAAAATCAACCCGGGTGATGCTTTTTAATTGGCTTTCTCTTGTATGAAAAGAGAAAAACTTAGATCTTTTTTCTTCCCCTTCCTTCCTTCCTTCCTTCCTTCCTTCCTTCCTTCCTTCCTTCCTTCCTTCCTTTCTTTCTTCTTTTCTCTCTCCATCCCTTTCTTTTTTCTTTTCTTTTTTTTTGAAGGACTAAATGGGAGAGGTCTTTCTACAAGAAGAAAAAATTTAATGAAAAAGGTTCTTCACTTCAAAACAAATCAGGTACAAAACTGAGTGCATAGAAGGATAAAAGAAAGCACAGGTAGATACTTGTTTGGTTTTTGGAAGCGGAGAAGGCAGATAGATAGCATGGGACAGGACAGGGCAGGACTAGATGAAATGGGACATGACAGGAGTGGATTGGGTAAGGACATTCACTTGCAGGATATTCACCCCGGTCCTAAGGTGGATGATGCTTGTGGATGCCGAATTCTACTGTTAGAAATGTTAAATGACATGGGGACCAACTACATTTTGTAGGAACTATATTTATATGGAAAAGCTAATGTTCGTGGTATGAAATGGAAATGTGCAGATCCTTAAGAGGTCCGCCAAAAGAGTGAAAGGTTCAAAGAGGCAAATCCCCTACCTCTGACTGAAGGCCTACCATGTGCCAAGCAATGATGAATACTGCAGACCCGGTGTGAGCCATACAGGTCATTGCTTTGTCACTCAAGAAGAAAAACTAATGATGGGGACCCATGTGTACAAAACACTTTCAGTAAAATCAAGAACATGCATAGAAAAGTGAACTAAAATATGATGCCATCTTTGGCCTGCCATGTGGGAGAAGAGGAAATACTTTAATACCTCGATAGCAATATGTTCAGAGCCCTAGAAATGGGCAACATTAACACAGCAATTCATCCTCTAGGCATTTATCTTGCACAAATAATCAGAAGGGTATTAGAGAGTAGTAATGAGAACTTATTTGCATCAATGTTCCATGTAGAGAGAAGTCAAAGTGACCATCATTCTGAAATGAGGATACTGTTAGTTAAGTGATACTTTGCCATGCAGTGTGTCAGAGAGAAAACCAAGACAAGTATGGATTTCATGAGAGGTTGCCAGTTTTTAGTTATTTTTATTTTATGCTCATAGGTGTTTTGCCTGCACCTATGTCTGTGTGAGGCTGTAAGACCTTGGAGTTACAGACAGTTGTTAGCTTCCATGTGGGTGCTGGGAATTGAACCCGGGTCCTCTAGAAGAGCAGTTGGTGCTCTTAACCACTGAGTCATCTCTCCAGTCCCTTTTTTTTTTAGTTATTTTTATGTCAGTTTTTAAAGGTTTTTAAAAAGCAGAGAAAGAACATCAGAAGTTAACTAGCAATGCTGACTTAGCTTTGGATGGTTATTATTGTTTTTTTCCCAATTTAGAGAGTTATAACTGATAAACAAAACACTATATATAACACTATATATATTCTTGATGAACTCTGTAGTATTTGCATATATTTAAATATCATTAAATAAGGACTAAGATTAAGTAAAACTAATGAAGAGCCAAGCTAATTTCCTTAAGTAGTTGTTTGAGATAGTATGAACACTTTTGGTTTTATTAGTGTGTGTGTGTGTGTGTGTGTGTGTGTGTGTGTGTGTGTGTGTGTGTGTGTGTGTGCTGGGGATTTTGCCAGAGACTCCCACATGTCATGACCTCCTCGGTCCAGCATCCTTAACCACAATCCCCATGCTATATGTATATCATCTCTTTATTCCTGATGCCCAACCCCCACCTCCTAGAGGCTCCATTCTTTTTTTTCCCCATGAATTTGGCTTTTTCAGATTCTACACTAGGTCATATACTACCTGTCTTTTGGTGGTTGGCTTATTTCTCTTAGCACAATGTCCTCTACACTACTATATCCTATGATGTCATCATAGTATATAATAGTATTACCTGTTTTCAAAGATCAAATTAGATGCCCTTGTGTGTATGTACATAGCAATGTTTTTTAATTTCTATCTTTTTATTCATTTATCCACAGACACTTAGAATTTTCCATGTCTTGGCTATTACTAGTCATGCCATTTTATAGACTGCCTCAGGTATTTTATTGTTGTTGCTTTGAGACAGGGTTTCCTCTGTGTAGCTTTGGAACTCACTGTAGACCAGGCTGGCCTTGAACTCACAGAGATCTGCCTGCCTCTGCCTCTCGAGTGCAGACATTAAAGGAGTGCGCCACCACTGCCCGATGGTAAGTCTTATTTTTAAAGATAAATCCTTAAAGATATATACTGATTGATAGATATAGAAAAATTAATGTGTTGGTTTTTCAAATAGTAAAGGTATTAAATTAATGATAGTTTTTGAATAGTAACATATCTTTAAATTTTGATAATTCTTAGTTGTTTAAAATTAACAAACCATAGTTTTTAGAATTATTCCATGTTCACAGCAAAAATGAGAAGAAATCTCAGGGGTTCTCTTGTTCCTCTGTCCTTACATCCCTTCAAGGTGCTCATTGCTACTGTTCAACACCTCAGTGGTACACTTTTATAATGGAAGTATATTGATTTTTTAATAAAGGAGCATCCCACAGATCCTCAGACAGTACAGGCCTACTCTTTGGAAAGATAAAGTCTGTCCCCACTTTGCTTCCACCTTGGTCCCAGCTAATCACTTTGGCTGGAGCAGCTAAGCAGTCAAGAGATATTATAACGTTTCCAAAATGATGGGGGGGTGGTTTGTTAGCCATGCCTGGGACTCTGCTTCTGACGCTTTGTGGGCTGAAAGAAAATGCTTTCTTGCAGGCATGAGGTGGGTTGCAGCATCTTTTATCCTTTTTTTCCTTTTGGGGTCCAATCGTATAGCATGAGAACTCAGATTTTCTCTCCCATGGCTCTTGAGCATGGCTATGTGCCGCTTTCTGAATAACCAACT